GCAGGGCCTTGGCCATGGGGAGCCTTGGCTGTGCCGGGCCTTGGCCTGGATGGGGGTGGCCTTGGCCGGATGGGACCTTGGATGTCAGGGGCCTCCTCAGGCGGGGCCTCGGCCATGGGGGACCTCAGCCATGTGGGGCCTCGGCCATGGGGGACCTTGGGTGGGGGACCTCAGCCATGGGGACCTGGGCCCCTGGGGACCTGGGCCGGGCGGCTCAGCTGTCAGCTGTGCTTCCCTTTCCCTTCGAACTCTGTGGCTTCTGCCAGCTACCGGGGCTCCCCTTTCTCTTACGACAACAGGCGAACTGAACGCTCACCCAAAAGCGCTCAGGCCCGGGACTTCCGCCCAGCTGGGCCAGGCACCCATGGGGAGAGCAGCTCCTGCGGGCGGCGGGCTTCCGCGGAGTCCCACTGTCCCCATTCCCAAGCACTAACGGGAGGCCACAGAGGACCCTCGCGGCCTGGCGGCCTGTCAGCTATATTTAGAAACCCAGAGGCCCTCACCTCCTCGTGGGCCCCTCCCCAGGCTGCCCTCTCGGCTCCAGGCACTGGGACCTCCTCAGTGACCTCGAATGGAGAGCGGCCTCTCCTGAGGGAGCTGCAGGTCAAGGCAGGAGCCTCGYCTGAGCCTTGCCCACGGCCCACTCGGTCAGCTGCAGCGGCAGGAGCTGCACCAGCCCTGTCAGTCCCCAGGAGGTGGGGCTCTGCTACTCTAACWTGAAGACTGGGTCCCAGTGGTCAGGCCGGCCAGTGGTGTGGAGAGCGAAGGCCACAGGAGCAGCCCTGGTATGGCCCCGTCATGGGCACTGGGTCTCAGCTGGAGTGTGGGCCCCTGGGGACCCGAGGCCTGTCCATGCCTCTGTGTGGCAAGAGCCCCTGGGCCCTCAGGATGCGTCCCTCTCGAGCCTGGGGTGCCTGGCCCAGCTGGGTGAAAGTCCAGGAGGGTCCCAGCTCCAGGCCAGCTGGGCAACTTAGGGAGACCCTTCTCCCCTGTGGCTCAGTGGTTCAGAACCAGTGGGTTCCATCCCCAGGACAAAAACAGAAAAACAGAACAGAACACAACCCCAGCAGCACCGGGTAGTTCTGGCGCTGAAGGCCCAGGGCCTTCTCTGCCGATGCCCACTCCGACCTGCTCCCCGTCTGGCGGCGGTCCCTCTTCCCATCCTCCCTGGTGGCCTGCTTCTTGCTGCTCAGCCGCAGCAGGCTGTCTGCCTGGCCAGTGCAGGTTGGAGAGGGCCAGGGGTCTGCTGCTCTGCATGCAGGGCCCGACTGGGAGCCCTCACGAGATCAGCACCGACGCTGGGCAAGTAAGGAGTCTGCTCATTCCGTGAAATGTGGCTGGATWCCCTCAGTCCCTTTCAGAGACCACAGGTGGAGAATGTGTGTGAGCCTGGCTGAGCATGAGGGGGCGGGCGCCAGTCTCCAGACCACGGGTTCCTTTCATTGGTGAGGTCTCGGTGTGGTCAGGTGCAAGCCGGGAGCGGAACCTGGGGGCGCCGGGGGTGTCCACTGCCCCGCTTCTCTCTCAGCTTTTCCTCAAGGGCACGAGAAGGGGAGACTGGGTGAAAGCCTGGGTACTGCCCCTAGGACGACCCCACCTCCAGGCCCCCAGGGCTGTGCACGGACACCCGGGTCCCTGCAGAGCCCATGGACGGCCCTGAACCCAGCACTGACTTCCCAGCCCCCGTCCAGGTGTGTGCTGGGGGTGTGGGCGTGTGCAGGGAGGAGACAGGACACACACCGCCGTGTGCAGCCTGGCTGTGCCCGGGATTCTCACTGCCACACACACGTTAGAGAAAAGCAAGACTTTCCACCTCGGGAGCAGTTTAGAGAAAAAATTGAATATAAGGGAAAAAACCCTTCTTAATAAGCTGTGCTGTGGTCTAACAGTTGGCCACATCCTGTGGAGGACGTCGAAGTGAGCGAGCAGAGTTCCTCTTTCAGGCGGGTCGTGAGGGTCACATGTCACCTGCAGTTCAAAACACCTCTGTAAAGAGAAGCCTTCATGTCGGTGGAAAAGCTGAATAAGAGGGTGGAAATTATCAGTGGAGAGAGCTCTGTGGGAACCGTGGGCGGACGCCTGGAGAGGAAGCCACCAGGGCCCAGTGGCAGCCCAGGGCCAGGCGGGCCCCGGGCGAAACCATGACCTCACGGAGAGCGGGCGGGAAGGGGAGCCGGCTGGGGTCCTGTGCCCAGCCTGGCAGCCTGGAGTGCCCGTCCCAGAGTGGGCACGGCCCTGACACCCTCTCTGGACCGTGGCAGAGGTACTGCCACACGCTCCAGCGCAGCAGGCCCCCGCCGGCCGCCCACCAGGCCCTGGGGGACCTGGGGAGGCCTGGCACAGCTGGGGCTGTGGACTCCCTGTGGCACACCCGGACGTCGGCTTGTGCTGCTGGAGAGTGGTGCTACCCACAGCTGCTGGGGGCGCCGGTCACACTCCTGAGCCCTCCCACGGCCTCGAGCCCTCCGGAGCTCTGTGAGGGCACCCACCACTGCAGAGCAGAGGCGCCCCCGCCCACCTGGGCCTCCAGCCAGGGCCCCTGGTGGCTGGAGAAGCCCAGCGTCTCCCCGGCCCACCCGGGGTCTCCCTCTGTGGCCCAGGTGCCTCCRAGGGCAGCAGGGAAAGCCCACTCTCTGGCTCTTCCCCTTTCTCCTGACCAGCAGAGGTTATTTCCTGTGGGCTACAGGCCCCGCGGTCTCCCTCCGCCATGCCAAGATGTCACCTGGAGTTTCACGCTCCTCCACGCCTCTGCCCTGGACGCCTCGGGTCCTGTCATGCCTCTGGGAATCACGCCTCCTGCGGCACAGGGCCATCCCGAGCCCCCCTGGGATCTCCACTAGTACTCCGCCTCCGTCCTCACATTCCYGCCATGCCTTGCTGCCCCACACTCCCATCCTGACTGTGCCACCCCTGCTGGGCCAGGGTTACCTGTAAGACCCCAACAGCCCCCTCCGCATTCCTCCTCTCGCCTCCCTCCCTCGTCTGTGACTCCTCTCTCCTCCCTGGTTCCGCAGCCTCAGTGTCCTCCCTCCTGTCCTCAGAGCTCCTCTCGCCCGTGAGCCCACTTCTCCTCTCCTGGAGGCTGTCCCTGGGCTGTGCACCTGGGTGTCCTCACTTCTCCTTCCACGGGGTCCAGCTGCAGGTGCCCGAGTCCCATGGTCTTCGGCCCCGCGGCGGGCAGCTCAGTTCCCCATCATGGTGCTCTGTGACACTTTCCCACTTGCAACCCTGGGGGGCTCCCTGGTTCAGGAGCCCAGGGACAAGGTGTCTGTCCTGCCTCTACCCTGCCTGGAGTCCTTGGGCCGGAGCTGGGTGCACGGGGGGTGCCYGTTGTCCAGTCCTGGACGCCACACCCCTCAGTCCCCACCTTCTCACCCAGGAGTGTGCACCTCTACTGAGTGGGGTGCTGCCCATCTCCCTGGAAAGTACCCGAAGGCCCTGGGGCTGTGCTCCTCCCTGGCAGCCAGCCCCTGTGTGGCTGCGCTGGGGCAGAGCACGAGCAGACGTGCGGCTCTTTCCATGAAGGTGACCGAGTGAGCGAGCAGGGGCGCTAAGCTCTCCCCTCCACAGCCCTGCCACATGTCCAGCTGCCCCAGCCCACTTGGTGCCCAGCACAGCCAAGAGGCCAAGGATGACCAAAAGTAAAACCCTGGGCTTCAACAGACACGCGGCCCACTGTACCCAAGAGACCGCGTCCTGCCTGCCAGGAGCCTCTGCCGGTACCCACAGGGCCATAGGACCTGCACCCACACACCCGACTGTCAGGCTAAGGAGCTGCCCGGTGTACTCTGGGGACAAGTTGAGTCCTGAAGGCTGCTCTGTGTCCAGCTTGTGAGCCCTGGCCCTGCTCGTCCTCACAGCAGCGGACAGAGCCTGCTGCCTCCTGAGCTCTGCCACGTCGGGCCCAGCTCTCCAGAGTGCGGCTGGCGTCTGTGCCCAAGGGCCCCTCCTGCTCCTCCATGCAGGGCCCCTCCTGCTCCTCCACACAGGGCCGGGCCTGCTCCAACGAGCTCCTGGGCAGGGCCATGGAAGGAGCAGGGAGACAGGCCTCGGAGCCGGGGTGTGTGCAGCCAGGTCCCTCTCTTATCAGTTCCCATGACACAATTCCTGGTTCCCAACTGCCTGCTGTTATTGTTGTTCTTAGGAGCAGTGGGTGTTGAAAGGGAGCTTGGGGAAGGGAGGTGATGAAATTCTCGCCCGCCGGTGGCTCCAGGAAGCTGCCCTCAGACAGGCCGGGGCCCCTGACAGCGTGAGGGTTTATCTGGGTGCAGGCCTCCAGCCTGTGGCGAAGGGAAACCCGGGCAGTTCCGTGACGTCAGTGCAGGCTCCCCACCTCCAAACTCCACCAGGAAAGGCTGGTGACAGCCTGCCAGAGGACGGTTCCTATCTCAGTGCAGATCAGGTGGCCAGCAAGGGAGGTGGGCGGAGAGAGGGGGTGGTGCAGCCCCCTGGCCACGGCCTTGCCAGCTTCTCTCATTTCCTGCCCATTTGCCAAAAATCACACACTGACCGTGGCCATCGCTGGCCTTCGGGGGACACTGTAGCTGACCATCTATAGGAAACAGACATGAAGGGGCAGCCTGSCTTCAGAGACCACCCTGCTCTCTTGGCCAAGGGCGCGCTCTGGGGGGACTCTTGTGTGGGCTCCTGGACAGAGGACTCGCTCTGCACCTAGCAGGTTGGCCCCCGTGCCAGGGCCCTGAGGCAGCACTGCCACTCAGAGCCTTTCCCCCTGTGCAGGCGCCAGGACCAGGCTGAGAGCCACACGCCAGGCCAGGCAGGACAACCTCGGGACCCCAGGGCCAGGCAGGTCAACCTYGGGACCCCAGGGCCAGGCAGGACAACCTCRGGACCCCAGGGCCAGGCAGGGAAGGGGAGGGAGAGGCCTCATCTCCAGTGGACGTGCGGATGAGAGGCACAGCAGAGGGCATCTGGAGTCCCCCCATGTGGCCGACTGTGGCCTCTCCTTCCCTGACCCTTCCTCTCTCTGTTTCTTTCAGTAAATGAAATCATACGCAACGACCTCTCGGGCCCGGAGCCTCACTCCTAGACCGCGGGGAGCTGGCRGCAGCCGTGGGGTCGGCGCCACCCCACAGCCGAGCTCCCGCGCAGGCTCCTGACCATGGGCCCAACACAGCTGGTGCCACTCAGACTCTGACTTCTGGCACGAGGGGCTGACGACCGACTGCGCTGCGTGTTCAACAAGGAGCTCTATCAGGGGCTGCGTGCCTCCTGGGGGAAAGCCCGCCAAGAGGACTGCGGGCGGCGGAGGCCAGCCCCGACTCAGCACTGGAAGTGCCTTGTCTAACCAGACCACGTGGAGTCGTGGAGTTGAGCGTTGGCTGTGCTACCACGAGTATCTGTAGGAGCGAAGACACTGGCTACGAGGCTCCGTCCTTGGTGTGTTAGGGGTCTGGCCAGCCGGGCTGTGAGAGACCCACCTTCCACGGCTCCCCGCTTCCTCCACGTCTCCTGGGCTGTGTCCTCAGGCTGCCTCAGCCCTGCACGTCTCTGCTCTGTGTGACTAACTCGTAGGACTTTAATAGGAGCATGCTGGGGTCTTAATTTCTAATCTGGTTTTGAATAAAGCACAAAGAGGCCGAATGGCTCCAGGTAGAGTCTTGGACAAAAAAGACACCGTCTGTAGGGGCGGGTCTGCGTCTGCATGCCTGTACCTAGACCACCATAGGCCTATGTGTTCTTGGTGAGTGACAGACAGGGTGGCAGTGTGTGCTGGCAGGGCCTCCACATGGGAATGACCAGCTCCAGACCCACCTTCCAGCCCCTTCCACTGGGTCTGCCGCCCAGCACAGGTGGCATCTTCTYGTCTCACACAGAGCACTTTAGACCCCAGAGAGGTGCGTTCAGACACCGGCAGGTCACCACGTGGCAGAGTCAGAGAGCAGTTGTAAATACCTTACGAAGGGAGTGTAACATATTTGTCAATTATAGACTCGTCATTCACAGAAGCCTTAGAGTCTCTGCTTCTAGGAAAAGTTACCCAAAGCAGCGTTTTCAAAGCGGCCACAGGCAGGCTGTCTTCAGGTCAGTCACAGCTGCAGACGGGCGCCTGGGGCCTCCTGCTGCATCTCTGCAGTTAGCAGGTCCTGGCAGTGACCTCCTCTCAACCAAAGAGCACGTTGACGGAGCAGGGCCATCCGTCCCTGTGCCTTAGCAGCCATCGCCCCCTGGTGGAGCAGGCCCGAACTGCACCATGGGTGGAGATCAGGGGGCAGGCCCGCCAGGCACCATCTCTGTAGTGTCCATCTTCAAGGCCGTCCTGCCTCTTCCAACCCGCAGAGAAACAGCTTCGAAAGCCATATCTGACCCTGGGAGGCCGTGAGGAGCTGACTGCAGCCGGGAGCACGGCACTCGCCCCCCGCAGCCTGCTGCTGACCCCGTATCTAGCGTACTGCCGTTGCATGAGCTGTTCCGTAGTAGGCTGTCATGTGAAAGGAAACATTGGAGATCTGTGTCTGCTCTCCTTGTAGTTAGAAAACAGAGCCAATAAAGCGGTATTTTTTGCTGGACAATCTCAGTCTGAGAGTGATTCATTGCTCATGGAAAATTCTACTTGGTTCTCTGTGGCCCTCGTGGGAAGTTTCCCGAGATGGGCTTTGCTGGGGAAGCAGCTGCTGTGTGCTCACTGAAGCAGAAGGAAGCACGTCTTGCCGACGGGTGGTTCCCCTTCTTCCTGATGCTTGTGAAGGAAGCCTGCTGGAAGTCGGCGGCAAGGCGAGGGTAGGGTTTGCAGGAGTCCTCCCCAGAGAGAGGCRCAGTGCTGGCCCCGGCCAGGTGGAGAAGGGACTCGTGCTGATGCCAAGTATTTGTGTTCAGAGAAACCTCCTGGGCGAGGCTGGGGCCACACACACTCCCCTGGAGCTGGAGGTGGCTCCCTGCTGCCTGGCGAGCCACCTGCCAGCTGCACTCTCGCCCCCGCCCATGCAGAGCGTCCAGCCATCCACCGAGCGGGTGGGCGCCAGGGCCTCCCCAGCACATAATCTGAAAGAACGCGTGGCCTTCAGAGCTTTGCCAGGCGCAGAAGCTCCGCCGCCCGCTGAGGGTCTGCAGACTGATCATGCACCCAGAGCAGGCAGAGGCACCTGCTGCCAGCCCCCCCACACACTGCTGGAAGTCAGCCCTGCAGGGACCTCAYAGCCCCCTCCGAAATGGAGGGTTCGGGGACAGCAGGTGGGAGGTGCCYGCTGAGCTTTCCCACCCTCTCTGCCAGCAGGGAGCCCCAGGATGGAGGCAGGCCAGGAACCTCCAGAGGGCCTCCCTCAGCCTCCCCTGCCTTGGAAACCGAGGTGAAGAGCACCCTGAAACCAGCCATGGTACAGCAAGTGATTCCGGGGCCTTCTGCGCTTCCGCCACTGTAGTTTGTATCTAGTTCTGAAATATTGTCATCACCTCAGGAGAATGGAAAAGCCCACACCTGCTTCCTCCTCCCCAGCCCTRCAGATCCCCAGGCCTGGAGGGGCCGAGGGGAGCCCCGCCGCAGGGGCCTGAGCCTGCCCCTGGCCCCGCCCGGACTGGCCTGCCTCTGCCTGTCAGTGCTGCACACCTCTCCCCAGCCACAGGGCTACACGTGGACAGGTGCTTCTGYCCTCGGCGCATGTGTGGGACTGGAGTGCCCAGGGCCAGCAGCGGGAGGGGGCTCCCCATGTGGCTTGTGAGTGCTCATGCCCAGGACAGGCCCCCACTCTGACCTAACTTGGAATGATGTATGTGAAGCACATCGTGTGTATGGTTTATATGCCAAAAAAATCAGATCAGGTCTATGATGACTGAGCATTCCCTTAGACCCCCTTCGTGCCCATGTGTGGCCATGCCCAGCAGCACCCGCCCACCGTGGGTTTCTACCGGGAAGCTGGACACCCGATCTGAGTGAGTGTGAGTCGCCCCGATGGTGCCAGGGGCCAGGAAATACACACACTGACCCAGCAGACGGCAGAGGCTGGGCCAGGCCTGCAGCAGCCAGCAGCTAGGCCAGCGTGGGTCCCCACGATGGCACTGCTGTTGCCAGCAGAGCCACCCAGCTCTGACTCCCTGCATTGAAGCTCAGAGCTGCTTCTACGCTGTGTGGTCAGAGCACCTGCCATCCTCCCCGTCACTGTGGGACTTGTCCCCTTCTTTGACACAAGGAAGAGCCAGCTCCTTCTCAAAGTGCCTGAGCAAACCTGCTGTTCATGAGCTGCCTGCTGTTAATGTGCTTATCCAGCAGCCATCCCTCTTTCCCGAGAAGGAGCAAACATGCTGGTAAGGGTCTCTTCTGGGGCTAGCCTGAGTCACCTCTGGAGGGAAGACGCTCAGTGCCCTAAGCCAAGGGTCTTCAGCTCCCCTCAGGCCGCTGCTTCGGCAGCTCTGGCCTGGCCTGGGCTGGAGGACRCGGTGCAGACCCCGTACTCCCACTGCCCTCCCAGGGAGGGCTGCCACAGCCACAGCAGCCCCTCAGCCCAGTGTCCTCCACACTGCCCCTCTGCTGGCTCAGAGGCCTCTGCAGGTAGGGCTTCTGGGTTGTGTGCATGCCACAGGCCCCCAAAAGTGCCCCCCACGACTGTCSGGGTGGGACGGTTCCTCTGTGGAGCAGAGCAGGACCCATGTGGCACTCATGTGGCACTGCTGCTCCGCACCTTTGCCACCACTGAGAGCAAAGGAGAGCTGACCGGCAGCTCCAGCAGCCCGCAGCGTCCCAGCCGCCACGGGTGGACTGCTTTCCTGGGCACTGGGCATCGTGGAGAAGTAGAGCTCCGAACCTCCCAGGGAGTGAGTGCCCCAAGAGACTGTGCTCAGCTGCACCCTCCCAGGGGTACCTGGGCTTAGCTCCTCCATACCAACACTGTGGGGCACAGACTTCCTACCTGTGGCCTTTGGGGAAACACCCGGGAGCCTTAGTTTCCTCACATGGAGAAACTGGACTACCAGGAATCCTTCAGCTGAGACAGCCATGCACACTGCAGGTCCTGGGGCTGCAGGGGAGGAAGGGGAGGTGGGAAGCAGCCAGGGATCTTGTCTTCCAAAGGCTCAAGGCAACACATTTGTGCTCACCAGCCTTGCTCACTGGTCTCTGGGAAGGTCCTCCCCTCTGGTCTTTCTCTGTGGTTTAGGCAGGTCCTCCTCTCTGGTCCCCTGGAGAATCTCCTCTCTGGTCCCAGCAGGTCCTCCTCCCTGATGCCCAGCAGGTCCTCCTCTTTGGTCCCAGCAGGTCCTCCTCTCTGGTCCCTGCAGGTCCTCCTCCCTGATGCCCAGCAGGTCCTCCTCTCTGGTCCCAGCAGGTCCTCCTCTGTTGCCTGCAGGTCCTCCTCTCTGGTCCCAGCAGGTCCTCCTCTCTGATTCCTGCAGGTCCTCCTCTCTGGTGCCCAGAAGGTCATCCTCTGTTGCCTGCAGGTCCTCCTCTCTGGTCCCAGCAGGTCCTCCTCTCTGCTCCCAGCAGGTCCTCCTCTCTGGTCCCAGCAGGTCCTCCTCTCTGGTCCCAGCA